AAAACAAAAACAGGAGTCAACACAAAGTTAGAGGAAAAATGGGGGGAGCAAGCTCGGCATACCAAGTTCGGAGTTCGGCCTTGAGGATTCAATGGGACGAACTGCAGGGTTGTAATCTAGCAGCCCGGACTCAAGCAGCAGCTTGTCGGTCACCAAGGTTCCGACCTTCCTACCCCTCGGAAAATGCTCCTTGTAATATTTCAGCGTGTCGAAGGAGGCTTGCGTAAGCTCGGGGACTGGTCGGATTGAAACTGCACAAAGACAAAATCCGAGTCAGACCTGAATAACAAGAAAGAAAGTTATCACAAAAAGTAAGAGCTACTTCGTACCTAGGTTCCCAAACCTAGTGGGAACGTCAAAGAAGGAACGACCCGACTCGTCCTTTGCAAGCTATTCCCCGGAAGCGTAGAACCATTTCCTCACCCATCATTTGATGGAGGTCGACCCCTTAACTATATCGCCTACGCCTTTCCTTGCGCACATATAGAACCGATTCGGCTTTTTAGCTATCCTTTTCGCTTCGAAGCACGCGAGGAGCTGGTCTACATCCAACAGCTCGACCTCTTCACTATCCCGAGCTCATAGCCAAAAAAGGATGGCCAAAGCGAAAATGACACCCCACCCATTGTGGGCCACTTGAGCCGGAGCCAACCTAGTTCAGAAGAGAAATTCTTGGACAAAAGGGTGAAGGAGAAGCCTGAGGCCGTACTCAAACATTTTGAAGTAGAGAGTGACTCATCCCTCTGGAGGATTGTCAACTCTCTCCCCCTCCTCCGGAATCCTAAGGAGGATGTTCTCAGGGATAGCGAACCCCCTACGAAGGGATCCGAGGTAGTGCTCAGGTATCCTAGAAGGGTATTCCAAACCCTGACCCTAGGTGGAGGCATCACTATCCTCCCCGTCATCGGAGAACCTAAAGTTTTCTATCTTCTCGAGCTCGGACTCTAACCTACGAGCTAAATCCTCATCGGATCCTAAGTCGCTGGTAAAAGAGGACGACATGGCAACTACGTTCGAAAGAGAAAGTGAGGGAAGAGACCGACCTACCAAGGGTTCGAGCTGCCTTCAGATCGAACTCCAAGAATTCAGGAAACGTAAGGTATGACCTGAAGGATTGGGGGTATTTATAGCTCGTCGGAAAAATTTCCCTACCGTACATGTGTAATCAACGAGCGGCTAGGATCCTCCCGAAGATCCGAAGCGTCGGAATATTTGAATATTCCGACGATAAATCCACCGCAACGGTTATATTTTCCCACGAATAGAAAGTCACCACGCGTCCAAAGCAAATCGAATGAACTTCTCTGCCAGGTCGAGATCGGACCAGACAGAGAGGGGGCCAATGTTTGGGGAAGAGAATACCCTGGACACGTAGAGGACCCCTATTGGTGCTCCAAGATGACTCATGAGTCATGCCTAGCTCGGACCGCCGAGATCACCACCACTAGCGTTGACAGATGCTAAGTATGAGGGCCGAGATGAACCTGGCCGAGGTCCGGTCTACCGAGAAGCTCGGTGGGGGCTGAGGTGAGCTACTGTCAGCGGCGTGATTATCGGGTGTAACCGTCGGTCCCGAGATTACCGGGTGTAACCGTCGGGAGATTAGCGGGACTACCTCCCATAAGTAGAGGACCTCACTCCACGATCAGGTACGATGATTTTCTGACCTCGAACTGAACTGGGAATCCGACCTATACTGACTTGATCGTCAGAGTGCTCACCTTTTTGTGCAGGTCCGCCCAAGTATTCAGATCGGTCCGGAGGCCGAGTTCGAGCTGCAATNTCATGAGTCATGCCCAGCTCGGACAGCCGAGATCACCACCACTAGCGTTGACAGATGCTAAGTATGAGGGCCGAGGTCCGATCTACCGGGAAGCTCGGTGGGGGCCGAGGTGAGCTACTGTCAGCGGCGTGATTATCGGGTGTAACCGTCGGTCCCGAGATTACCGGGTGTAACCGACGGTCCCGAGATTACTGGGTGTAACCGTCGGGAGATTAGCGGGACTACCACCCATAAGTAGAGGACCTCACTCCACGATCAGGTACAATGATTTTCTGACCTCGAACTAAACTGGGAATCCGACCTATACTGACTTGATCGTCGGAGTGCTCATCTTTTTGTGCAGGTCCGCCCAAGTATTCAGATCGGTCCGGAGGCCGAGTTCGAGCTGCAATCTGAAATACACTGTTGTGCATATCCTTGCATAAACAGATGCTTTAATCCCTTTGAGTTACGTTTGGATTGTTATTAAAAATATCATATTGTAAGATAAATACTTTTAATATTATATAGATTCTCTAAATTACCCTAATTTCTAAAAGAGATATACAATATTTGAATCGGTAAAGATTGACCATTATAAAAAGTTAACGATTTATTATTGTTTAAAATGTCTTTTTGTTTTTATATTTATTTCTCTTAATGATCACATATTTAATAATTATAAGGATAAGATAAGTGGAGTATTTCTTTTAAAAATATATATATTTATTTATCTATTAAATATTAAACTTAAAATATATATTATTAATCAGTAAAATATTTATAAAAATTGTTTTGATCTTCCTTATTAGTTTTCATTATGATGTAAAAATCTATATCTATTCGGAAACCGAACAAAAATTGATAAATTCAAAATTTAAATAAAGTCGCCATATATTATGTCTAATATTTAGACAAGCATTTATTTGCCTAATATCATTGCGATCAATAAGTTTAAATTATGTTTTTATTATTTCCTCCATCCATTTTAATTTGTTTTACTTACCACATTAGTGATTTGTCTATTTAGCAAAAAATTTATATGTTGAGTCAATTTGAATAAGTTCAAATTCTCTGGACCGAAATATCCCTATTTTGTAAGAAGTTAGAATTTTTCATCTCTTGTTGAATTAAGAAAAGAGAAAAAAAAACACATTAAATAGAAAAAGTATTTTATATATTTTAAGAAAATATCAACAATTTTTTTTTTTTTAAAAAAGGTCACAAACTTGACTTTCCTTCTTCTTGTAATTTAATTAAAATAAAATTATTCTATTTATGTAAAATTTTAAACTTGATGGCTATATTAAATTTTTTTTTTCAAGATTAAGATTTTTTAGTGTATATATATATATATATATGCGCCTTAAAAGGAAAGTTCCTAGAAATTTAAATCTCTCTAGAACCATCTTTGGTGTTGCCCCACTTGTCACGAGGATTGAAAATCTACCCATACTCATACGGTCATACCCCTTCGATTCATTGATTTTAATTTTCATGCTTCCAAATTGATTAATTGATTCGAGAAAGGAGAATAAAAATTTCATGGGTTCTTGATTTTGCAATGCAATAAATAATCTTTCGTGCTATAAAGGCCGTGGAGTGACGAATTAATTAGTTATTGTTAGAAGAAAACACGAACGCATATTCGTCAAAGTAGTTTCGGTTTGTATTTGAAATCTGAGGAAAAACTTCGAGAGCAAGCGAGGGCATTCGTTCATTCTTCCGCCCTGTTTCATCTTTTCGATTCTTTCTCTCTGAAATCTGTGTTTCGGTAGCAAAAAAAAAAAAAAATGTCGCAGAACGAAGATCATATGGAGGATACAGACGGAGACTCGTATCAGCAGGTGAAGCAGACGCTGATGGAGCGATCCAAGGTGTGTTTTGTCTTCCCCTCTAACTTTTGCAATTTCTGGATGCTGTTGTCTAACAATTTCTTTGGTTTTTTCTCCCCTTTCTGATATGGGTACGATTCGGTTCGCAGAAAATGGCGCAAACGAAGGAGATGCTATCCAAACAAGCCGTTCAGACGAAGGAGATCTTATCCAAACAGGCGGTTAAGATCGCTAAGCAGGCCGAAGAACACGAGAGGTTCATTAACAAGGTTTGCCTCTCACTTTTGTCAAGAATCGAATTGATTTCATGTCTTATTCCTTCCCCTTAGAATCTGAGTTTTTTTCCCCACTTATTTAGGTTACCCACCTGCTTGGAGTTCTTGGTTTCGGAGGATTTTGCTTCCTTTTAGGAGCGAGTGAGTACAATGGTCTGAATAAATAGATTGCGATGTTATACCTCTTACAAGAGTGAATTGATTTTTGTTTGGCTATTTTTCTGACCAGGACCACAGGATATTCCATATGTATATTGTTTGTTCTATGTCACCTTTGTCCCTCTTCGGTGGATATACTATCGGTTCAAGAAATGGCACTACTACCTTTTGGTACGCGCTGCATCTTTTGTTGTTTTTTTTTTCCATTTTCATCTCTCCTTTTCCTGTCCTTTGAAGCTGTAAATGCGCCTTTTAGACAATATGTATCGCGCTCTAGTTATTGCTGTATGTTGGAGAATCTTAGATTACCATCAATCATAAAAGAAGTTGAAAAGTTAGAAGGAGATATTGAAAGTTTGAATGTGATTCGGGTAAAAGAAACTACTGCTGTTTTTCTAATGGAAGGAAATGGTTTGGTGATTTCTGAGTTGTTGTGTTGGTCAATTTTCAAATCTCTAGGTTTATATTGTTGGTATTAGATAAATGGGCATAGTTTTTCATTTGGAAACTCTTCCTTTGGCTTGGGCTAAAGATTCAAACTTAACTAACGTACATATCCTTGAATAACTGCTATCATTTTTATTGTATTTCATTGTGCGCCCCTAATGTTAAGGAAGCTAATGTATTTATTATATTCCTGACTCAGGATTTTTGCTATTACGCAAACACAATTTTCATCATTGACCTTCTTATGTATCCAGAAAATGAAAAACTTTTCATGATTTGCTTCTCATTTGCAGAGGTTAGTGGTGCACATTTCTGTAACCTGACTGGAATGATTCACTTGCCTACATTTTAACATTTTAAATATTGCTGTAGGGACCACTAGCATGGGCGATCATAGTTTGGCGTTGTAGCTTGGTTTTTAGTTCTTTTGACAAAATAGTTAGTGTACTCATACATCTAATTCCTGGTGAGTATTTTTCGTCTTCTTTTCTTTTCCAGCGGAAGTTACCTGGAAAGAAAAACTAATTAAAGGATTGATTGTGATCTTATCAGCTTCTGAAACAATCACTTTCCAATGGATGAAATCAAATAGATTATTTCTTGAACTTCTGATTGTGGCAATCATTCTTCTAGCAAGCACTGTTACCGTAGGATGCTACATCAAGCTGTGTTTTTCCACCAGTTGTCCTTTTAAAAAACTGAAAAATGAAAAATCTTCCCTGAGGTAGTTTTACGAGGCTCGTTAGTTCTCACACCAACACATAGACTGAAGTCTTATGCTCCATAAAAATTCACAAGAAATATTGATTGATCATAAGCCTATGAATAAAGGTGTTTGATAACTCAAGTTATGGTTTTCATGGGCTGTGAAGGATCCACTTGTGGCACAAAAAATTAATCCGTAATTAGAATCACTATCGTTGGTAACAGAGATTATCCTCTGTTTTTAGTAACAAGAGGTTGTGGTTTGCATTTAGAAGCAACAGTTTAGACCTTAGATGATGTACTTAATGTTATACTTGATGTTACTCTTCTAGGTTTGGTTTTCTTCACCATTCGATGGTGGAATGAGGCCACATTTGAAGCCATGCATCCCGGAGGAAGTTCCCGCCGAGCTTCATGGCCATATGTAGAAGACAAGTCATACTTATGGACATGGCTGTTTGTGGTTCCCTTGGTTGCTTACACTCTCTGGCAGATTCTTTACTTTCTCATTGTCAACGTGCTGCGTCGTCAAAGGTTCTTGCGAGATCCTGAAGTCATGACTTCTTACAGGTTATCCTTCCTCCATGACCAAAAATCAGTTGCACTGATAGCAAAAACATTTGTATATCTGTTCTAACACCCTCTTTGTGAATCACTGCTGATTTCTCAGAGAACTGTCCAAAAGGGCACAGAAAACAAACAATGTATGGTGGAGATTAAGTGGTTTGCTTGGAGATCAGAATCGTCTGTTCATGTACATTTTGTTCCAGGGCATATTTACGGTGTTGACGATGGCATTGACTGTTCCAATCTTCTTGTCGTATCGGTTGCACGTGGTTTTCCAGCTGCTAAAGGTTTCAGCTGCCGTTTGGAATGGGGGGAGCTTTTTGTTAGAGGTCATGCCAAGGCAGGTGATTCTGAAGGAAAAAAAGAAATCGGAGACACAGCCACATCAAGACGATCAAATTCAGCCCTCAGTTATCGCTAACGGGACCACGACTGACTGCAATCCAACGGAAGCATTGCAGTCTTAGCAGTGGCTGCTGCCCTTAACTGTTACGCTCTCATGGTGTACCACGTACCAGTATTGGTTTGATATTTTTTGTCTCAGATATGTTAGGTTTTGGCTCTGATCATATTTCAATATATATTCTTTTTAACCAAGATGATTGTAAGTTAAAGTTCTATATTACAGGTTTCTAAATCATGTGCTATTTCGAGGAAGTCAAATAGCCGTTTTTGCTGATGCTTTTCTCCTCAGACTTTGAAATTTTGTAGTGAATATAGACGTCGTTTGACCATTAAGATTTTTCCATTCACCTAGCATGAAATTCGAACTCATAATCGAAATAGGTGCGAACTCATAATCTTTTAGTCAGAAATAGGTGTAAATTACTGCTGAGCTAAATTTATGTTGGTTCATTCATGTAATTAAGTTTGTGCAAAATAAAATTTAAACAAGAACGAGTTTGGTTCCTAAATTTTCATGTCTTTTTAATCCTTAAACTTTTTAAAACAATCATTTTAGTCATTGTTATATTATTTTACCACCTAAATCTCTTTTAGTTAGCTCACTTACACATTAATTTACATTCCGAAACCGTATTATTAGTAACTTAATATCTTTAAGTTAAAATCAAAATAAAGATAAGGACCAAAATAATCTTTTTTAAATAAGTTAAAATCAAAATAAAGATAAGGACCAAAATAATCCTTTTTTTCAGTTCTTCAAACATGCGAGAACTAGAATAAATCGAGCTCAAAAGTTGAAAGTTCAAGACTAAAATGGAATTCCTCTGTAAAAAACTAAAATAGAATTTAAACCAAATTTAAATTATTAATATCTTGTTCGATATCCTGCCAAGTTACCAATTTTTCTCACATGTATAAATTAACACTCTTTAGATTTGGGCCAAAATGATAGTCTTTATACTTTTATTATTTTTCTTAAAATAATTCTAAAATAAAAAAGTTATAAAATGAAAATTAATTTTCAGTTAACTATACCTGTACATAAATAAAATGCTTGGTACTGAGAAACACACTTCAGTTGAGGTAATATTGGAAGAAAACCATCTGATTAATTGTAAAGTATATGAATAGTATAATAATAATAATATCCAATTTTTTTAATGTGGTGCCTAAAAGTACCAAAATATATGAGCAGCTTGATCACAAAATACTGTACCACAAAAAGAAAAAAATAAATAAAATAATAATAATGTAATGAAGAGATATATTATAGTTTGGGTTCCTATCTTCAAAAAAAAAAAAAAATTACATCACACTAAATACAAATTGCTTCCACATGCTAACCCAAAAAAGAGGCCTAAAAAACAGCCTTACACCCAAAAACTATAAAGAACCTTGAAAGAAAAAAAAACCAAATGAATATAAAGAAAGACCACTGCAAAGGTGACCGTTTTCTGGACGTTATGTCCACTTCCAAGGTTGCACATGATCACGCTCGGTGACATGGCTTCCCGACAAAGGCCCTTGCGTGTCGATATGACACGAGAGGCAAAATAAATTCGACCCAATGACCATCCGAACTCGGTCGCTGGGAGGATGGAATCGAATATAACTATACACATGGATGTCATGGAATGGTGACAAACAATGAGTATGTATATGCACAGTGATTTGATGTGCAGTGCCATATGCTAGTGCAGACAAGATTGCATAGCCATTACTCTGCACGTTGAAGCAAAAACCCGAACCCCGAGTTTTCCCGTATCAGCGGTGGAGGATCGATGTCTGTTACATCTACCTGTTTCATTGATTTCGAGATATCGTCCACAGAAAATGGGATACTGCGTCAACAAGAAACAGATCATAAGAATGGAACTTATGGGCCATATAGAGTGAATGGCATTAGCAATTTGAATGATGATTGTACCTAGAGTCATCATCTAACAGGAATGAGCTAATAGCATTGTTGGAATCTTCAGTCATCAGAATTCTCATACTCGAAATGACCTGCATTACAGGGAGGGGTGTTAGAACAAGGAGAATCCAAGGTACAGCGACCTGAGAATCAAATGGAACGGTAATTCAAAAGCTAACAGAGAATCAATCCCGTCAACTTCACATACTTCTGAAGATACACTGTGAGTGCCATATTTGTCATCCCAGTACATTGTACTGATCCTATATAACTGTTGTATGCTAAGCACCTGAGAAGCAAACATGTACAAAGATGAAAACATAGGTCATAGTACTAAATTAAAGGCTGAAATCATTTGAAAAAAAAGACAAGAAACAGAGCACTAACAGGACATAGGTCTTTGGTTATCTCATTCAAGGTCTTCTTGGGTTTTTGATGTATAACCTGAGATCGAAAAGAGTCTGAATAGTAAGTTCTGCAAAATCGTGGGTTCTCGAAGAATCGAGCTTATTTAAATAAAACGTACCAGGAATCCAACAGCCTGCCTAATATGCTTTAGTTCATCCCAAGCAGACCCAGCATACTGTACAGAAGGGGGTCATAAGAAAGGGCACATAAATGACCTTATGAGAATAAACATCACTTTGTGATGACTTACTTCCTCAGTTGCTCCAGAACACCACTGTTCTAATTCGGACAAGCCAGCTTTCACATACTCCCCATTGCTGAATGAACAACACTCACGCCGCAAAAGAAGGCTGCAAAAATCAATTAAACCGACAAGTCAAAATTTTGGAAGTGAAATTTTTCTACCTCTAGCCTGCAAGATACCAATGCAATTGCAAAATGTTTAGCTTGAACTCATTACCTGTTGAATAGTTGAACATTGATAAATGAGAAAATCTGAGTGTGGACTTTGCGGACTAAGAATGGAGGTACCTGTCAAAATTGGGCATAAAATTGCGGTTGTACTTTCCTATGAAGTATAAAGATGATAAATGTTAATTTACAGCGCCAAATTTAGAACTCACAAAGTTGGCTTTCATGATCTTCAAATAATTGTTCAAACTTTTTACAATGCTTTGCCAGTGAGCAATTAAGGCTTGCTGAGCCATAGCATTAGCTTGGGAGCGGCCTTTCACTAGGCTTCCCCGCGACATCCTTGGAGCCTGCATTGAATTGAATGTAGCATCTTAGGTCTTACTATTTTAGGAAGGAAGAAGTCTCATCATTGAAACAACACCACATTCAAGAAAGGATGATACAACATCACATTCAAGAAAAGACTATACGATTTGACAACTACCTGAATACACAATCCAAGTAAAGGCGAGATCTCTTTCTTTAGATTGTCTCTTATCATTCCATATATTTTCTCCAAAAATGCTGTAAGCTGCTGCTTAAATAACAGTGCTGGATACTTCGCCTCAACCTGCCTAAAATCGTCCAGTCTACTGAGCCCCCGCCCATTGAGAAATGAGAGTCCGGCACTTTGTGGAGATGCCCTTAGCCCCTTTAATTTGCAGAGAAGAACAGAGAGGCAATTAAGAAGAGAAAAAATATATATATGAAAACCTGAAAGAATACAGATAGTAGTATACAAAAGATAATGCCGTACTTGAGACATCCTTCCAAAAAGAGAAGATGAAGCAGTTCTCCTCCTTTGAGGAGTCAAGCTAGCAGCTCCACTTGCTTTGAGGGTGTGTTGAAGAAGCAACAATAATGTAGATGTATTAGATAACCAATAAGCTAATACATCATTGTTATCCTGAACCTTCAGTAGAGCGAAAGCCACAAGCGTCAATAATATGTAAACGGCATTAATATTGCAAATGTTTCAAACGTAAAACAGTGCATATCTCACCTCTATGGATGAAGCTATTGTTTGAATGATTCGATCGAATATGCTGGTTCTTTCGACTTCAAATGACCTCCAGTGAAGAAGGCATTTGTATATGACACAAGCAGCAATCGGTTTGCCCCCAGAAAATCCCAAATCCTGAGATATACATCTCACTAGCAGGTCCTGGTTCTCCTGAGTATGATAATGCATCACAGGAAACAAATTAATTACTCTCAAACACCAATGTGAAGCAAGTTTTCATAAACCTTCTAATTTATTTAATACAGTACGGGTGCATTCTTACCTGCTGTTTTTCGTTAAGGGATTTCTGTGGTTTTTCCTCTGACTCGGGCTCGCGTACATTTGATAATGCAAGAGACATATCCTGATACACAGAGTGTTAATTTAAGAAATACAATTTCTATACACTAAAATTGTTTTGCTCATAACTATTTTCCTTACAGATGGCACTTTGGCTTCTCCATGCAGAACATTTCCATTCTCTGGTGTCCTCTGGAAATTTCAACAAAAAATTGATGAGACTAGTCAGATTTTATTCGATACATCCAGTGTATCATATGAATATCACACCATACCTGAATAATCATTGACTTAGGTCTTGCAGATAAAGCTTTTCCTGTTGGCGACATGGTCAAGGCTTGCTGACGAAGTACCTGGTTCTCTGATTCTGAATTTGAAAGCTTCTCTTCAAGCCTGATACAGAGAATATGGTTCTACTTCATTGACTTTAAATCGTATAACCAGTGTAAGGAAACATATGACTGAACTTGACACCAGCAGATAAAGGAACAGGTCGAGGCAGGCATATTAAGTTGCACAATACCTAGTAGAAATTCAATTCGATGTAAATAACAACAATTCAATGATTTAATCACTCCTACAAACCTCTGAACTGACTCCTGAAGTTGATCTGCCTTCTGGTCTGCATCTTGAAGTCTTTTAGTCAGCTCCACGTTTTTTGCTTCAGCATCTGTACAAGCCTTTCTAGCTTCTTCTGCAGTCTTTTTCTCTGACAGCAGCAAAGCCTGTAAATCTCTGGGTTAGAGAATCCTCAAGATTCGAAAAGATTAAGAAACTTTGCCATAGAAAAAGCAATAGCAATATTATAAAAGTGTCATTGTCGAAAAAATTTACCAATGACCAACTCCAGACCCTCTGGCCCCCTCTTATCACTAAGAAATAGGTTTGCTAATCCAAAACAATCATTGCTTTTAAGCCTGACATATATTTGAGAATGTTGGTGATGGTGCAAAGGTGTCACTCTCGCCATTTAGCAAGCAAATTTATTTAAACTATAATAACATGCTGAATATCTACACATTGGGAAAAACCGAAGGCTCTGCTCTACTTCGGCTTATGGGGTTTTTAAATTCGTTTTCAAATCAGCTTTCTGTTTTTCAGAACAAAAAATCAATAAAAATGTAGTTGGATAACTGGTTTTTTTTTCTTTTGATGTCTTTTCCCAAATGACTTATTTTTCCAAAAAATGAAATTA